GTAGACCTCTGAACATTTATTTTAGGAGCCTGTGTAAATGATTTGATCTATCTATCTTTCATTTAGCTTAGGGATTTGAGGCTTCTACATTGAGCATAGAATCTATGTTAAACCTGGTGCTTTTTAGAGGGGAAAAGGGCCTCTTAAGGACCCTCTAATCTACCTACATGCTGTGATTGACCATAAAATGAAAATATACAATAGTAAACAAGTGTGTAAAGCCTGGATCCCTCTATATCTCCTCACTTTTTAGCTTCCCTTGACCTGGTTTGCTCCCCAGAGGAGAGTCGACCGATTAGAAAGCAGGTTTGTTGGTCTTTATCGTTCAGACCGAGGCAGAAACTCTGGGTTTAACTGGACGCGTTTTATGGCTGATATCTCTTCTTTTTTTTCTGTTTCAATCCATTTTAAAGCTGCTTACTCTGGCCTCAGCATGGAGGAGTTTTGTGCCAACCATCTGACTTTATCTGGATTTTAAAGTCTTTTAATATACATTAGTCCCCCCCCCCCCCCCATTCGGTCTTGTTGTTGTTGCTGTTTGGGGGGCAGCAGAGGAACCTTACTTCATCATTTTAGAGGTATTTACTGAATCTCCTTCTTTGTCCAGGTCTTTCTAATTGACTTATTTAGGTTTTCGGAAGAGGGTCTTAAACCCTGATGGGTCATAAAGGCGGTGTTTGATGGAGAGATGGACTCTCAAAAATAAATATTCAGCTTTTGATAAGAAAAATTAAGCGTCAGTAGCTGCTTTCCACATTTACCGTTCAGCTCAGATTTCTGGTCGTGTGTAAAAACTACTGAGGTGTAAACTCTGTACACCCACAAAAGGCTGTCGGATAAATGACCCGTCGGGGGGGAAACGGCTCTCAAAACCTTTCTGCTTCATCAGATATTTTCGCCGCCTGATTTAGATGATTTAACGACACAAATGCCAGTTTTTTGGAGGAGAACACTCACGTCCAACATCCAACATAAGGAACAGAGATTTATAAAGTACTGGAGTAGAAGTACAAGTACTATATAAAAATTTTTACTTGAGTATAAGTTTAATTGTTCTGTCAACTTCATACTTAAGTGGAAGTTTGGAAGTACTTAGTTTTTTTTGTACTTAAGTATTGCAAGTAGAAGTATTTAAAAAATTGCTAGTATAAATAAAGTACAAGTACTGTGTATATTAAAAAAAGGCAGTCAAAAGTGTGATATATATTGTTTATATTATTTCAAACCTGTGAAAGGCCATACAGGTGTTTACAAAAACAGAAAACTACATCTTTAGCAACCAACAGCACTTCATCTACTATTATTTACTATTCCAGAGTCAGAATCCTGAGCTGAGCCTTTATGCTAGCATGTAGCATAAAGCTAGCTAGCTAGGTTAGCTTTAGCTAACGTTAGCTGAGTGAACAGGGAGAACTGAACTAGCGCTTATTTACTATCTTGTATGACATTGTATTTTTTAATTTACCTTGATATGGTTCTTCAGATTAGATGGGGAATTTTTGAAGGCCATGATTTGGCAATCTTTCGGGAGGCTTTTTTTTTAATAGGCTATCGACCAATGAGGAGCCAGCTTCCCAAACCCTGACAGAGCTATCTCCAGCTCTGGCTCTGACTCGGTGACTGGGGATGATTCATTACGTTTACATATCAGTAACCAGTAACGATTCAGTAAAAGTAAAAGTATTAAATTAATCAAAAATATGCAGTGGAGTAAAAGTAAAAGTAGAGAAAAAATATACACTCCAATAAAGTACAGATACTGCATTTTGATACTTAAGTACAGTACTTAAGTAGTTCTACTTGTTACTGAACATCTCTGATAAGGAAACACAATCTCAGCTAAATAAGGCCAGCATAGAAAGAAAAGAATGTTATGACTGTTTATACCCGCTTAAAACGTATTTAAAAAAGGCAAACCTGCCGCCTTAAGACACGGTTTTGTTTGCCTTTCCTCTCTAAGCAGAGCCGCCTGCTTGGACCGAGCTTTGAAGGCTTTCTGGATGTAAATCACAGCGTCTGATATGTGGAAACGCAGCAGAAAATGGCCGAAAACGAGCTGACTGTGTTTCCCTAGAACAGGAATCTCTGGCCGGGGCTGAGAGTTGGCTTTATGGCCTTCGGTTGGCAAAGGGATGATGGTTTTCCGGAGAGTTTTGGGTCCTGCCTGCAGACCCCATTCTCTGTGGATGTCCCCCACAGCAGTTGTTGTTGTTGTTTTCCTGCCGTTGGTTAGCTAAATGGCTAAAGCTAA